TGCCCCAACTATGCCCTGATGTGTTTGTTTGTGCTCACGATTGCCTGATACGCGTCCACATCTCGCATGTGTGTGCCTCATGTCACATTTGTCCTCGTATGCGTACTGTCATATGTGTGCTCATATGCGCGCTCGCAATGCAGTGTGCCCACATTGTCCTCCTAGGTGTGCTCTCAGTCGTGTGCTTCTGTTTAGTTACTGCCATATGTGGTTTCATGCATGTGACCATGTCGTGTCCGTCATGCGTACCCTTCCTATGTACAATGTACGGTTATGTGTCTTGATGAATGTGTGTGTGTCATTGAGTCCACATCTATTTTGATGTGCAAAGCCCCTACAAGGGTCCAGCAAAATCTCCCAGAAAGATTTGACAGTTCACAGGGCCGTGTACTAGTGGCTAGTCACTGGCACTTCGAATTGGCAACACTTCAATCGGATTGACCGTGGTTGGATTGCTCAGGACAGGCTACAGTGGTCGATGTGTTGTAGGTTGTTTCGAATGGTTTGACTTTAGGTTGTTTCGTGTTTCTCAAACTTGCTCCCGAGTATCCTACTATGGACCGTGGGCTTCTCAAGGCTCCAATCTTGGCTATAGGATATAGTGGCTATAGGCTGCTAATCAAGATTAGGCCTACTCTGGCACCATTTGAGGCAGTCTTGTGTTGACCCCTCTTAGTTTCTGGGAGTGGGTCAGAGCCTTGATAGTGAATCTAGTGCCAGAGTTTTGCACGTAGGGTAACAATATGGAGGCCTCAAGCCAAGCAATGCTTTTGTGGGGAACACTTGTTGGGGCATGCTTGTAACCCAGTTTCACTCGACCTCACTGAATACCTAAAGCACAGTATATGAAGGGGCAGTTTTGTTCTCAATGCACTGCCTACAAATTACTGCAGGCATCTTCGGTGAGGGCAAGGAGCCCATACCGAAGTCGACTGAAGTATTCTTGAGACGACTGAGATGAGACCCACACAATGTTAGGCACAGAGTTGGTCTCATCGCACATCTCAGGTCTCCCCAAACGCAACGTGTGTTTTGAGCAGCGAGGCAGGAAAGTTTGCTTGATTCACTGACGCGGCCATCGGCGCTTCAATTTGCGCCAGCCTTTCATGGCAGGGCTCATTTGAAGAGCGCCGTCACCGTTTGGACTGGCACTTGCAGCGGTTTTGGCCCCAGTCACCTTAAAGACCCGATCAGTTGGTGTAGCTTCTGTTTAGAAAGATCTGAAAGATAAGCGTCCATTTGCACCAAGGCGTATGGTTTTCTTTGTTTTGTGCGTTACTCAATTGCCTTGGTCTCATTTTGCACCAGGTCTCGGCAAGTTTCAAGAGGTGACCTTGTCCAGCGCAACATCGTCCAAGGTCCACCTTGTCCTGCTCAGTGGATGAACCGAGATCAGTTTGTTCTGCACATTACGTGGGCAAACTAAGCTCCCGTCCGTTTATAGTCAATGGGCAGGAAGCAACGAACGCATGAACACATGGAGTTTATTTTGGCACAAACACGTTTGATGAACCACAAATGCATTGCAAAACGATATGATTATGCACCCCCAAAGATGTTATATAATGACATCATTGAGTTAGAGCAGCACACACACACACGCAAACTTGCCTCATTTGGCACTCGGGATGCCGCGCTGCCATGTTTCCACACCTAAACCTATCTCCCACAGTATTCGGGTGTATTTTGCGGACAGGGGTTCGTCTGTACACGCGGAAATCGGATCGTCTGTACACGCGGTGACGGGGACCGTTTGTACACGCGAGGATCGTCTGTACACGCGGCTTCTGTATGTGGGGTGCCTCAGTGTGACCATACTTTGGGTTCTTACGGTGGGTGCAAAGGCCGGGTGTTGATCCAGGGTGCTCAGACGTGTGTGAGGCCAATTCGCTGGTATTTATGGTGCTTTGACTCGACTTGTTCAAAGTGCATTTTGACGGTGCAAGCTTGCAGAGTCTGCTGGGCATCGACGTGTGCTATTTTTGAGTGTGCTCTTGTGGCGCTGCTAGTCGAAGTGAACATCATTAGCCCCACCCCACCCCACCCCACCCCACCCCACCCCACCACCATACCCTTACTTCAACATTGGAATATTAGATATGAATGCTCTGCTAGTCGAAGTGAACGTCATTAGCCCCACCCCACCCCATGTGCCCTGTGTGCGCAGATGATCTTGGCTGTGTGCATATTTTTTTGCTGCAGGCATTGTATGCATGTAAGATCACGTAAGGGTGTTCAAAACCGTGAAAGACCTATCTTGCCGCCAGCTTGGCGAAGTACACTCACATGGCGGCACACAGTGAGAATGGTGGCTTGCCAAGTCAGGCGTGTCGGTTGTGCGCCGTGGCATTCACATCTTGGAAGAGCTTTTGAGGCCAGAAATGAAAAGGATGGCAGCTTGGAATGTTGACAATTCGACTGCGCTGTATACTACTTGTTTTACCCAGGAACGTTTTAAACTTAAGCTTCTTCAGGGCTTGTGGCGAGCAGATCAGTACGCAATATCTCGAGTGTGCTTCTCATCAGTGAGAGCCCAGGGTGTACCCGAGGAGTGTCCCCTGTGGCCCCGTCGAACGGGGGTTTGTCCATGTTCCCTGGCTTGGGAACGTAGGTGTCCGCCGCGGACAGCAGTCCGCCGCGGACAGCAGAAGGTTTAAGCCCAAGTTACTTGCCAAGACTTGACGGATTATTGAATCTGAGTAGGCAGCCTTTGGGCAAGCCATTAGGTGACCAGAGCGGTCTAAGCTGCCCGCCACGTTGGCATGGCATAAGGTGACAAGAGCGGTGAGAACTTTTGGACCCATTCATGGGGTCAGTCGCAGCCTTGAGCACACACACAGCGTACACATTTCAAACCATTCTAGGTCTGCCTAGGTCGCTTTAATGAGGTTTGGTTTCATCAGTTTTTTGGCCCCTCCAATGGGTTCCCTTTTCATCCTTTTCATCATTTTCATCAGGTTGATGGGAACGCCCAGTTGCATCATGTGCGCTTGCGACAACATGCCAGTGGTCTTTGCGCTGATGGCCTTGGCTTTTGCGTGGCCTTGGATTTGTCGCATTTGGCGGGGGAGCGGAATGAGGAGGCAGATCTGCTGAGTTGTTGGAACCATCCAGCGGCGAAGCCATGGCCCGCGGAAATGGGAGAGAAATTCCCTGCAGAGAGCAGCTAGGCGGACGTGCTGGCCTCGACCATAGGCTTTTCGGTTGTCGCGAGGTTCCGTAGCTGTGCTTGGTGTGGACTGCTCAGTCGCGCAATTTTTTGGGGGTCTATTGTGGGCGGCCTGTGCAGATGAGTTCCAACAGGCAAGATGGCTTGTCCCTTCATCTTGCAAAACAAGGTCGGAGGATGGGTGAGAGGCGCCGGTGTTCGCGGTTGGTTGGGGTAATAGGCAGAAACACCAACCCTCTCTTCAGAGTCCTGCACGGATGGCTTGTCCCTACATCTTGCAAAACAAGGTCGGCGCGCCTGCTCTGTCTTGTAGTTCCCAGCTTGATAGGATGGGTGAGAGGTTTCCCCTTCGTCGCAACCACGTACATTTTTTCCCCCGTCGACTCCTCCTTCTCATGTCTTCATCTTTTTGTCGCGTATGCGCATTTGATTGTTTTTGCCTCCCTAATTGGGAGGCATGTGTGTGAAGCCCTTGGACTCATAGGGCTTCCTTTGAATTTTTCAGCAGGGGGCACCGGGGGTGCTGATGAGACCGGTGCTAACAAAGACGCTCATCAATTACCTGTGATACAGTTGGAGACGTCGTGCCTGCAGAGTTCTGACTTCAAGTTCCTGGGCCCTGTTATTTTAACTACAACAAGATCTCCAGCCTTTGCATCGGTTCTGCGTTCGGCAGTCATGCGTTTGTCGTTTTCGTTGAGATTCTCAACATTGGAGTTGGAGGCCTTGGAGGTTTCGCCGATGTTTAGACCACCTACTGACACCTGTCCTGGTTCCTCAGGTTTTTGACTTAGGCTGACGTGTGGCAAACCGCAATCGAGTCAGTACACATTTTCTAAGTGTGAGAAACCCTTGGAGTCACAGGAATCCTTTGTGTTTCCCTTCTCTTTGTCCCATTCAAATAGCAGGGGTGGAACCCCATGGATGCAGTTGGTTGTCCCACGAAGAGGGCTGCGTTCCATGGCTGGTATGATCCTGGGACGCTGGGATCACGTACCTGCTTGAGTGCTAATAAAGCCTATTTCCTTTTGGCCCCTGATTGTAATTAGCGCAATGTGTCCAGCCTTTGCAGCGGTTCTTCATCGGCAGATGTGCGCTCGTTTCGTCGTCAACTTCTTTGAGACTTGGGCCTTTGGAACTTTTTGGAATGTTGACGATTCGACTGCACTATACATATTACCTGTTTCACACAGACAATTTTTCACTTAGGCTTCTTCAGGGCTTGCGGCGATCAGATCAGTACGCACTATCTCAAGTGTGTGTGTGTGTGTTTGTAACCCTTGGATTCAGAAGGGCCTTTTGATCATTTTTTTATTGTGTAGCAGGGGACCAGGCAAGGTACATCGTCGCCTGGTCAACGAAGCTGGCGATGTACCTGAGGATATGGAGTGGGACGGCGCCTCCACGTACCTGCTTGTGAACACACTGACTCCAATGGTTCTCCCTCGCTCAACTGTTTCTGAGTACACTAGGTTGCAGTTGCAACTTATCAAACTTGGAGGACTTTGAAGCTTTCGAGACTTCCTTTACTCTTACTACTTTCAGCTTTCATACTCCCTGGACTCTTAGGTTTTTTACTTAGGCTGGCGTGTGGCAAGCCGCAAATAGTTTCGCACGCATTTCCAAAGTGTGTGTTTGTGTGGTTTGATATAGTCAGCACATGATGAAGCAAAAGGAGAGGCAGTATGTAGGAAACATGGACAGAAATGGTCAACATTTGTTGACCTCTTGTGTCGCTTGGCTCAAAACCGAACCTGGTTGGAAACCTCTGAAACTTTGCCCGCCCAAACCCTGCCACGTGTGATTATTTTACTTGGATAGATGATGTTACAGTCACTCCAAATCGTAATGTCAAACAGTGAATTTCTATGGGCAGGCAGCGGCCAAGTCTTGGAGAGCTGATCTCCTCAGAGAGGTGCCGCGTTAGCTGAAATTCTGCAAACGATTTGGTTCTTATATTTTTTTCAAAGGCAGAGCGTGCCTTTCTGTGGCAAAAAATGGCAGTCGAATGCAGTCGATATTTCTCGATCATGTCTTCTTTCACTCCTCCGAGATGCATCCTCTTGATTGCAGCTGCCATGTTTGAGCCTTCAGCTCAAGCCTGAGGGCGGCACACAAGGCATTCCTCCTCGATGATCGCACCGGAAACACCTCCACGGAGTTCATTTGTGAGCATCGAGGTTTTGGTCAAACCCACGCGCTCTGATTTTGCGTTCTACATTGTTGAGCTCCGCATAGAGTCTTGTAGAAGACCTCATTGGCGTTTCCAAGTTCTCGCGTCGACAATCTGGTTTGCGATGGATTTTTTTTTAGTCCTGATGGTGCAAACCAGGCTTTCCATTTTCCTCTGCCTTCCACCTGGGGTGGCCAGCTGCATACTTCTCGCCAGCTGCATACTTCTCACAGCTGGGCCCGGAAGTCTTCATCGCCATCATCAACTTGCTTTTGATCATCTCCAGTCAATCGTAGTCTTCTCGCCATCATGGCGTCAACAAGGCTGGGCCTGCCTCAGCCTCTTGGCTTTCCTTGCTGAAGGCTCACACCTTCAACCTTGGGCTCATAACCTGCAAAGGCAGAGTGCGCCTTTTCTTAGACAAAAAGTGGCTTCAAAGTGTCCACCGCGTGTTTCCACTGTCTCATGGTACAGTTCGCATAGTTTTGTGCAGCGCTGCTCATCTAGCACTTTCAACTTTTATTAACATTTTTTAGCAATCCAAAGACGAGACCGCCATACTGGCACAATGGTCAAAGTCGATCAAAATCGCCCTATATATATATATATTTGCATGCTTGGGGTCTTGAGACGGATTGACTCGATAGAAGAAACAAGAGAAAGCCATGGAGAATACGTAGGTGGTGCAGAGCAGACTCTGGTTGCTTTGAAATTTTAGGCTGCCAGCAGACTACATTGACAAGGCGGTGCTTCAATTGTGCAAACGCCAACGCAGAACGCTGTCATCTCTGTGTGCTTTGTGCTCTGCAGTTTGTTCTTTTGTGACTTTATGTTTGTCCATGTTTGACAAGTTTTGATTTTTGACAGTTTGAACCTGCATCAATCTTTGGCTTTATCAACAATTCATTGCCAGATGTTTCCAGAGAAAGACCCACCAAAGCCGGAGCGCTGGAGGCCTAGAGTTCCTGAGGTGTTTGTGTGAGTATGTTTGCGTGGAAATAGCCAAAGCGTCACCAACGAGCTTTGAACAACCTATGTGAGAAGCACTTTTTGAGAAGCGATGAGTGCAAACTTGGGAGCTCAAACTGATAAGGCAAGGCTCCAGTGTTTTTGAACGAGTTGCTCACTCCGCCCAAACCCAAGTGCGCAAAAGCGAGGACTTTCCCAGACTTCCTTCGACCCATCCAAATCCCCCAAATTTCTCCGTAAGGCCTAGGAACAAGAAGCTACTAATAACAAGGGCATCGCTACTAGGAGCAAGGATGCTACTAGGGGCTCCTGGCCTTACTACTAGGAGCATTCTTCCTAAGGCCTGACCCTCCGAAATCCTCAGGTCCGCAGAGATTGCTATGACACAGTCGCTCTATGTTGCTTTGCGCTTTGGCAGTCTAGGTTCGAGACCCTCCACGGCTTCCACAGGCTTTCCTGGATGGGGCTCGAGTCAGGCGATGCCGGCTATAGCGAACCATTGCGACGAGTGCAAATGGCATGGGTATGAATCAATAATGAGTATGAATGAGTAATAGTAAGTATACATTTGGTCTTTTGCTTTGAAGGATCCTGCAGTGTTGGCTGCCATGATGGTGCAGGTGCCTCGCAGTCGATCGCAGCGTGTTGGTCACGTGGTTTTTGTCAAGTGAAGTACATAGAAACCACGCTGAGCACACGTAGAATAGAAAAGCCCCTGCGTATTTGTTGATGCTGGATATTATTTAAACCTTGGTCACAGTGGTGTTTACAAGATTTGGTTTCAACCGTGCAAAATGTCCTGTTTCACCCTTTGCTCAGGTGTCCATACGCATAGATGTCAAAGTGCTGTCTAACCATTGCGCCACTGTGAGTGCATTCTGTGTCCGACTAGCCACTCTTGCGCCCCACATGCCTATGCTGACAGCCTATGTATTCCCAACCTCTAGGCGAAGAGACGCTGCTCAGCCAACATCAGCCGTCAAACAGATATCAACCAATGCCAATGCGATGCAGGTGTTGCCATCAAATAGATATCCTAGGATACCGCGTGCTTGGTCCTCTTGTGATCCTACAACATGCGTTTTAGACCCGCATTTTGCAGAGAGGGTTACTGTACAGTTTTTGGAGAACCTTTGACATCATTTCAGAGGTAAAGTTGTTGTTTGTTTGTTTCGGGAGCCTTTCTTGGCATGCCTTATGAACCCATGACTGACAAGCATTTATAGAGGAGTAGGGTGCTGTAGCATGCACTGTCTTTTTTGTGTGAGTGGTAATCTGGTCGCATTTTGTGGAATCAATGCTGTGAGAATGTGGATCTGGTAAATCGTTCTTAGAGAAACTAGGTGTTCATGTGTGTGCCAACGTTCAGCCTTTTCCAACCTGAAAGGAAAAGAAACAAGGAGAAAGAGAAGAGAAAGGAACTATGTACAGTAAAAACTTGGAGAGGCTTTTAGAATTTCAAGAAAACACAACAGAAAAAGAGAGATACAGAGAGAAAACACCACATAATCACATAGAAGTGACAGTTTCCCGTGTTTATTCCCTTTGGGAGTTGGCCTTGCGTCTGCCGTTCCCATAACGGGGGGAGACACTGCACCGCCGCTCTGTGTCTCCCCTCGTGAGCCTTGCCTCATCTTTCCACGCTATGGCGCTCTGGGAGAAGACGCAAAGACGCAAGGCAAGCCCCCCATGGAAACAGACAAGGAACACCTATTCATATGTCGTTATATTTTGCCCCTTCATGTTCTTTTTATAGAGGCCGCGCTTGTAGCATCGTCTAGCTAAGGGCTTTGCAGGTAGTGTGGCCAATCATCCGATTGGTTTGCCATGGAGTTTGGTCGCACCAGGTGCTCGAAGAGCCTTGCACCTTGTTTTCAAGGTTCTTCATGCTTCTTTTTGTCTGAGACTGTGGGTGCTTGCGTCCGCCTTCTCAACCGCAACGAAGGTGCTTCAGGCGTTTAATAGCAGGCCTTGTTTGTGCAAATCACATTTTTTGCCTATCTTCTGACATTTTTAGTCTTTCTGGCATTCTAAACTGGCATATCTTCTGGGAGTCATTCTTGCATTCTATCTGGCATCTAGTCTGACGGGGCAATCTATTTGGAATCTTCCAACATTCTTTCTGGCATGGTACCGCTGACATTCTCGCTGGCATTCTATCTGGCAGCTACTGTCCTGTGCAAATTACTTATACTTTGTCAAGTGGGCAGTGGTTGATCAGCTACATTGATTTTGTGCAACCAGTACTACTGTAGTTACTTTGTCAATGTCCTAGAAGACGTCCTTGAACCCACTTAGGATGGTTGTTCAATGCTTGGTGGCCAGGCCTTCGGGACAAATTGGCAGCACTGAGCACAAGTGGCTTGAGTTGGCTCCTAAAGTGTTTGGCTTGAGTTGGCTTGCTGTCCCTTCACACGGCAGACGCCCAGATGTTTTCAGGCGCTCTTATGTTTTGACAACCGGAAGTTTTGCGCGGCATCCCCCTTCTTGGTTCTGATCTGTTCCAACCGTGTTTTGCTTCAACCAAGTTGGCATGTAGAGAAACGAAGTACTGACTCTTGGTTCGGTTAGTGAATGGATTGGTGGGCATCGCTGATAAGTGCTTTGCCTCTCTGTTAGTCTGCAGCCACCTACACCCTGTGATGTGTGTGCTAAGTTGTTTGTTGAACCTTTGTCAGTGTGATCAGCTCTGCATAGCTCTGCCCACGCCGAGCTATCACACATGGGAACATGCCCGAACCGTCCGCAATTTGGAGGCTGCATTTGTCCATCCTCCAGTGATCAACTAGAGCTGCTTCTGGCTTGGCACCTTCAAGAAACCTTGCCAGTGTTACCAATCAATCGCCGCATATCCCCACACAGACACGGATTAGCACAATCAAGAAGCCCAGGCACCCCTTGTTTCAGGGCATCAACAATGCCATTAATTTCATGTGCAATATATGCACGCATTAGTTTCTGGTCTTTTTCGCCCTGATGATTCACACCAAAAAAGAGGATTTACCCATCTGCCCTTGCAAAAGGAAACATGTGAACATTGACACATCTGTGAATTGCTGACAAACCTATGTTGCACACAGAGAGGCCCGCCAGTCTGCAGTCTGTGCATGTCAGACAGGCTGCAATGATGAAGAGCTCACCTCCAGTTCCTCCCATGGTGGCGGGCCAAACCAGTGCTAAGACGCAGTGCCCCTCCGATTTCCTCACCGTTGCATGTTGAGGCGGGAACCATGCCCTATGCGGGACAGTTTCGCTCTTGGATCTGTTTTTTCCGAACAAGGTTAATGCGGGCTCATAGCAGGCTCTGAGGACTTGGATTTCCTTTTGCCAAGGATGCCACCGGCTTGTTTCAGGTGGGAACAGACCAATGTGCCTTCAGTGATTCAGCTATGGTAAATGAACAGTATTCACACCGCTTCGCGGTCGAAGCTGCCCGCACAGAGTAAAGGGAAAACAGACACACATACAGACATAGACATCCATCCAAGCATGCAGACATACGTATATATACATGCAAACATACGTACATGGGAAAAGTGTGTCATTACCACCCTACCGGCTCGGCAGCAACCTGCGTTCGCGGAGGCGGGAACTAGCAACTTGTGCTCTCGGAGCTGGGAGGAAATGTTAACCGGGCTCAGGCGTGAAGAAGCGTTTCGCTATAGCCCTATCTAATCATCAGAGGGCTCTGTCTCGGTGCGTCTGTCTCGGTCTGTCAGTCTGTCTGTCTCGGTCGAGCAGGACACACGGACGATGTCAATTGCTTATCCGGGTCGGTCTGTCTCGGTTTGCCTCGGTCTGTCTCACTCGGTCTGTCTCGGTCTGTCTGACTCAGTCTGTCTGTCTGTCTGTTTCGGTCTGTCTGTCTCGGTCTCGGTCGGGCAGGACAGACGGATGAACACACCCTCGATGTCAATGCAGTATCCCCCGGGCTGCACGTGCGCCCGCGATGTCAATAATGCGACATCCCCCGGCCGGCGTAACCTGCACCGCCAGCGTTTGGTCCAAAGCCATATCCATAGGACTCAATCTGGCAGACTTCTTGCGGCTTATGCGAGCCTCCACAACGCCTCGGCACCTTCGGTGCGGACTGTGTGCTTTGACTTCATTGTGCCGAGTCACGCTACTTTACTATTAGATAATTATGTGGCCTTGGTTCGCAGACCGCCTTTTGGGCAAGTTCCTGCCGACGCCTATCCTGCAACACTGCTTGGAGCTCACTGTTTCTGCTCACTATTTTCCTAAAGTAGCTTCTTGTGACTAGTAGTAAGATGTAGTAAGGCCAGGAGCCCCTAGTAGCATCCTTGCTCCTTGTAGCGATGCCCTTTGTTCCTAGTGGCGTCCTTGTTCATCAGTGCTCGAACAGTCTCAGGCAGACACCAAAGAGTGATGCAAGCGAGGAGAAGGTTCAATTCGGTTTTCGTTCGTTTTCGGAAAGTCAATGCACCCGAAGTTGTCGCGAGACGCGGTCTCAGGGCCCGCCGCAAGCTGCCTTGAAGGCCAGCTGATGAAATGTAGATGATCCAGACCACGTTATGTCACATATTGTGAGAAGACTTGAAGATACCCGGTGTTGCAGAGAGACAAACACGTTCCACCACTGTTTGCTTACATAATAGATGAGGCCAAAGGCTTCCCCTGTGCAACATTATACAACAATCTACCCAACACAAAGCGTCAAACGATAGGGTATCAATTTGAGGAAAGAGGAGTAGAAGAGGAGTGATAGTGCTCATGGATGCTCGTGTAGCACCCGACTCCTGATTTCAGGTCGGGCTCGGAGAGAGCTTGCCGCCGATTCTTGGATTTGAAACGTTCATTCTTGTTGTTTCCTTCGCATTAACTTCGTCACGGCAGGTTCTGCTTTTGAATAGTTTTTTGTACACTCAGAGTTTCCTGACAAACCTTACAGGACACATTTTGACAAGCATTTGAGCCACGTACTCGTTATATTATTATGGGTTATCCAAGCTGCTACGCACTGTGACGCATTGCGACCATTCTAGAAGACAACATAAGACAACTCTCTTTCTTGTCACCAGCTGCTATTGAACTCTTGGATCATTTTCGATCATCAAATTGAGACGAGTTTGAGCGAGTTTGAGAAGCGTTTTCAAGTGTTTTCCGTGGCTTCACGTGTCAAGGATGAGACCACCCAAACCTTCGATCCAGGCCTGTCATCCTTTCAATTGTCTAAAAGGTAAAGGGTGTGATGAACTCAAGCTTTGACCGTTGGCAATGCTGTTGGGCTCATTTCTTCTGAATACATATTTAGTACAGAACCTCATTTTGAGACCAAGCAGATGCGCTGGGTGTCAAGCGACGTAACATATCAACCTTCAAGCATTGCAAACCTCTGTCCAGCTTTCAAGGCTCAACGCACGTCCAATGCTCATTCGATTAGTACGAGGCCGTTGGGTTTTGATGGGTTTTATGGGTGCTGTGCAGCACTTGCCGGTTTGTTGAGGGAGCGGGGCTCTGAAGTTCCGCCTTTTGTGATGCTGCTAGATGCCGGGGCTGAATTGAGTTATTTCACTACTGGAATCGCAATAGATTTGTCTGCTCAGCATCTTAAACACGGTTGATATCTGAGGAAGGCTTCTGCGAGCGGATGCTTTATGATCGGCCAAGGCTAGACCACAATGGCATTTGCGGGAGCAAGAAGAGCAGATCCTGAACACATGTCGTGCGTAGCTGCATATCAGACTTCCCTCATGTCAGCAGGCAAGTCACGCAGAGCACCACAACATCAAGGAGGTGAATCACTCCTTTTGACCGGCCGGCATGGGGAGTGCTAGTCTCACACTGCAACTGTGTGAAAAGACAAAAGATGGCAGACCATTGCAATCCCACCAGCATTTTGCCATGGTTGGCACCCCTTTGACAATCCATGCTGACATATAGACGACTTGTATCCATTGATTAACATGATTAGTGCTGCTTCCAAGGGTTCAAGCATGTAGCCGTGGTCTGCATTTTGTGTCATCCAAGTCAGCTTGCATTGACTCTGACTTGCATTTTTGCAAACTCCCAAAACAGTGTGAAACGCGTCGCAGATGTCATGAACAAAACAATAACAAGTCAAGTACGAGTTGCACGTTCTTCATCGCTGATGATGTTTTTTTCAGATGTTGCCATTGGAGCCACTGGTAAACTATGGCAGGCTAATATGAAGCCGCGCCACTTCTGCCAATGTAATTCAGTATGCCGTGTGCAGGTCCAATGCAGTATATGTTGTCCCCTGTGAGTAAACGGGCCACTTCCTCACTTAGACTTGTCTTGGTTTTCAGGCTTTGTAACCGGGTGGTTTTTCTTCCCAGATAGCGATAGCTATTATGGGCTTCTTGCTTCAAACAAGAATGAGCTGACTGTTGAGACCGGGTGTTGGTGCTTTGGAGACCTGGTGTTGGTGCTGGTGCCGGTGATGCAGCCTGGCTGTGTGTGCTTTTGAGAGGAGTGCTGGACTCGTGCTGGTGCTGCTGCCGGTGCTGTCAGCTGGTTGCGTGTGCTTTCTCGGTGCTGATTGTGCGTGCTGGTGCTGGTGCCTGTGCTGTGAGCTGGCTGCGCTGGCTGTGTGTATATGGGACATTCTAGTTTTCCAGCCAGCTGCATTTCAACGGCTACAGGGGGTCTAGCTGGTGCAATGTATCTCTGCAACTCTCTCGGTGCCACCACTCCGGAAGTCTGCCGAAGCTAAATTTACCTCGGTTTTTGCTTGCTGGATTTGAGGATAGGGCATCCATCTATCTCTTCAACCTGGCGCTCGTTTCCATTAGCAGTCATGCATTTGCAGTCATTTGCATGTGTATTTAAGAAACTTTTGCCCTTTCGAACCACCAGGGGATTGTTCCTGTGGCGGCCACCGTGACATGGGAGTGGGGCTGCAAAATGTAGAAAGCAAGCCTATTGGCAAGCATGACATGACACTGGACCTGGCTCACACTGCAAGTGATTGTTTCAGCAGGTGCAACTATAAATGTCAAACCGGAGACGCCGGAGACTCGGAGACCCAAGCAAGTATACGTACAAGTGTTATATTTTATATACATATCTTTACCAGTATAGTATATATATATATCAAAATATCAGAAACGTGCTATGTGTACCGTCTAGGACACACTACAATTTTAAGCATAAATACATTGGAGGTGCTCGAACAATCCCAACATGTATGGTGCCTTTGAGACTTTATCGGGCTGCACCTGCACCTTCAAGAATATAGCTCTTGGGCTCTAGAATGCAAGCAGTCGCTTCAACCGAAACTGCGGCACACTGGATTTCAAGGGTCCAGCAGATCGCCAGGCATGGACGGTGGGAGGAGGTTTTGAGGTACTTGGCTAACAAACCTTACGAAGTTGCATTGGAAGTTGTCTACAGCATAGCGATAGTTGCTTGTGGCCGATCTTCTCGCTGGGAGTGGGCTTTAAGACTTTTGCACAAACTGCAGAAGACAACAGAGACAAATGTGGTTGTTGTCGGATCCACAATGGGTGCTTTCCGCAAAGCTGGCCGGTGGGAGCTGGCCAGTCTTCTGTTGGGATTGCAATGCCGAGTGCAACTCAATACTGTTGTTTACAACGAGGCAATTGCTTCCTTTGCAGGAATGTGGCAACAAGCAGGATTATTGCTAGACAAGGTGCAGAACGGATGGGAAGCAGACGTGATAAGCTACACGGCACTACTCAGTGAGAAGATGCAATGGGATCGAGCATTCGCTCTGTTGCACTCGATGAGCCACGCTTTGTGGATTCAAGCAGACACGATTCTTTACAATGCAGCCATCGCTCCGAGTGTAAAGGCACGTCGATGGGAAGAGACACTGACCCTAGTCAAAGAAATCCAGAAACAAGCACTACAACCAGATGAATTTTCGTTCAATATGGCTTCTACTGCATGTGAGAAAACGCGATGGCAACATGCACAGCAGTGTGTTCGATGCCTTCGTAATGCAAACCGTGTGGGCTCCATCAGCTTTAGTGTGGCCCTCAAGGCATGCAGCTGGACAGCATGCTGCGAGATGCTTCAAGAGCTTTGCCATGTCACGGTGCAGGCAGACTTGATGCTCTACAATATTGCTATGACACAAGTTTCTGCAAACTGGGAGACCGCTCTAGTGCTGCTACAGAGCATTCATCGGCAACTTCAAGCCGACACTGTCTCTTTCAACTCTGCAATCAATGCATGTGGGAAGAGAGTCACATGTTGGGCCCATGCGCAGCATTTGCTGCAGGATCTTAATACCCATCTGCGGGCAGAATTGGTGTCCTATACCTCAGTGATTGATGTATACAAGGATCTAACCCGTTGGCCTGGAGCTGTGGTGCTTTGGGAAGAGCTGCAGACCCGGAACCTCAAGACCGACATCACTTGCGCTTCTGCTGTATCTGTTCTAGACTGGAGATTAGCTGTTCTTTCCCTCTACATCTCTGAGCGCAGGAGCATCAAGTCTGATTCAATTGCATATAATGATTGCATGAGTACATATAGCACCAAAGAGGAAACATGGCAGCACGCAGAAGAGCTCTTAGCGAGAATGGGAACCTTGAATGTGCAGATCAACACGATCACTTTGAACACGGCACTTCACAAACAAAGCAAATGGCAATGGCAGAAGGTGCAGTTGTGCATCGCCAAGCTGGAGGAATCAGACTTGGTGACTTTGAGTGAGGCATCAGTTCTTTTTGACAGGGCTGGAGAGCAGTTGCAAGCAGCCTCATCTTTGGGATCACTTGCAACTACATGTCAGTCCGAACTGAAGCAAAAAGGTTCAGAAGGCAAGCAGGAGTTTGCGATAGAAGCAATAATAGAGGTCAACCGCTCATGCACAGTAAGTCAGATTCCCCATGCACCGTTGCATTTTTGTTCAAGTGGCCTGGCTATGTCGCACTACCGAACCTAATGGGGTGCCTTGGCTCCGTCTTGTCACCTCAGTACGTGGGTGTCTTAATTTGCGAGCTATTTCGGGGCTGGGCAGGCCTGCCGCTGTACTTAGGGCAAACGAACCCGAGAACCCGCCAACCGCCCTCACTACGATAATCAACCGGATCTACTGTACAATATCTACATTGTAAGCCAAGGCAGTGCGGATCTCTCATGCACTGCTCAAAGGTTGCTTGCGTCGATTTGGTCCAGGCCATGCTAGAATGCAGCCGCAGCTTTTGCTAATAGCAGGCCGGGCTTTCACCAAAATGATCATTCCATTTTTTCAGACTGTACAACAGGGCTGCCATGGTGTGGCTGATTGCCTGAACAATTTTTCTGGCTTTAACACAGTGGTTTCATAAATCAGGGTTTGTTCTACTGGTCTCTCAGTGGATCGCTGCTTACGGCCCCGTGCTTGAGGATGTTTACTACTAGCGCGCGGTGTTGAACTCTTGGACGTGGAGAAGGATGACACTTGTCGAATCGATGTTCCAATGGGTTGTTTCTTTGGTGGAACATCTCCTGCTTGCAATGCAAGGGATTTGTCCCTGCTTGCAATAGATTTTCGTGATCTAGGGTTTCTTGTATGATTTCCGCTTGAATTTGTTGCATCTTGAACTGAAGACTTGCTTGCCACATCAATTTTTACGATTTCCGGGCAAGTGCCTCCCTGAGCTTGCTTGTGACGTTCATGTGTTGCATTGGCCTGGCAGCACGGGAGAATTCTCCGATGTGGTATTTGCTTTTCTTGTTGTGAGTTCAGACGCTGTCGAACTAGGTTGACAGACTTTGCTCGACCGCAGGGCGGGCTTAAGATGCCGGAAAAGGCGCGCGGCCGTGGTCATTTCGGTGACCTTCCAATTCGCTTGTGTTTGATCCTTTGGTTCACTCACTCTACACGTAGTTCTTCGGACACTACCTCTGTTTTGACATTGGTAGCGGAGCCCGAGCCCTTCCAGGGCGAGGGCTCCCGCTGCGGACTTCGCTCGAACGAGCTGAGCGTTCTGGACAAGACCTTGGTCACCTACCCTTTGCCGAGTTTGCTTCGCTCCTCTCATCCGACCTCTTTGAACAACACCTTTGGAGGAGCCACATCGTGTTCTTTGACCTCATCGATGTCTCAAAAGAAAGGTCAACAGAAAGGGAAGGCCCAGGGCTCCGGAACCAGCTCGACTGAGGACACCTCCTACACTGATGTCCGTGACAGTTATGTGCCACTGTTCAGCGGTCAGCCTTCTGACCATCGTGAATGGCGCCAGCGCGTGCAGCTCTACTACCGGAAGATGACGCTGGCAAAGAAGGCAAGTGAGGGGGTCCTCAACATCGTTGGGAGCTTCAAGGGGGTGGTCTGGCGTTTGTTCGAGGACTGGCCTTTGGACCGCTTCGACAAGGACGATGCCTTCGAGACCATGTTGAAGATACTGGACAGCAACTTCTCGTACGACCAACGAGTCCAGCTTCCTTCAGACTTTGAAGGATACTTCAACCTCCTCCAACGTGCTCCAGGTCAAACACTCCTGACCTATGTCAACGATCATGAGGAGGCCTACAGGAAACTTCTACAACATAAAGTATCCCTTCCTGAATCCGTTCAAGGGCGGCATTTGCTGCGTCGAGCCGCCTTGACGAAGGATCAACGACAGCTGGTCACACTGAAAGCACCCACATTGGAGAAAGCCGCGATCATTGAAGCCCTCTATCTCCTGTTTGGTCAAGACTACAAGGCTGGCGGCTGGAATCACGATCGCAACAAGCGCTTCCAGAGGTGGGGCAACTGCAGTCGGGCCTACGCGGCACAAGATGAATGGTGGGAAGGTGAAGACTCAGGCTGGGATGATGAGACCGGCTACTATGAAGTTGATGAACAGGTGGCCGACTATGACTACGACTATGAGGAGGAGGAGTTCGATGCCGACGCTGCCTACTATGGTGAAGACCCCTGGCCAGAGGAGCCTGACGAGACCGGCAGCCCAGAACGTCTTGCTGATGAGTACGACACGGCATTTGCCTCCTACACCGATGCCAGGCGCAGATTCAATGAGTTGAAGATGGCTCGAGGTTTCTTGCCAGTGGTCGCCCTCACGGACAACAACCAGCAACCTGTCATGGCCAACGCTTCATCCTCCTCGAGCCCTTCGCACTGGCAGAAGAAAGGAAAAGGCAAGGGTGGCAAATCAAAAGGGAAAGGAAAACCAAGTGCCACCATCCGGTATCCACCACAAGGAGCCGGCAAAAGTGATCCCAAGGGCAGAGCTAAGGCCAATATGACCTGCCTCAGGTGTGGACAGCAGGGTCACTGGGCAGCCAACTGTCCCCAAAGCGCCTCAAAAGGCTCTGGTCTCAAGCGCCCAGCCCCCACTGAGGGTATGGCGCAGGTTCTGGAGGAGGAGCAGGGCATGATCATCTTTGAACTTTGAAGATCACAACGGACATCAACGCCCTGACTGTGTCATGTTGGATCCTGGTGCGAGTGCCTTCCTCTCAGGCTATGGCCCTTTCCGCCGCTTCCTGCAACACCTGAAGGACGACTGTCAGTTCCCGATCGACAAGATCAAGATGACTTGTGGCAGACGCCGCTTCCAATTCGGCGGAGATGCAGCTTCCTGGTCGACTTGGAGTGCACATGTGCCAGTGTTCCTGGACGGTCGATATGGCACCGTACAGCTGTTCCTGCTACCAGGTCATACACCAATGCTATGTGGACGCCCCATCATTGAGGCCATGGGCATGACGATGGACTTTGCACTTCGCAGGGTTCGCTTTGGATCTGGTGGCTGGCGACAGGCTACGCTTGGTCGGCAAGGTGAGTACCTCCTGTCACTCACCGATGAGCACTCCCTCGTTGAATATGACCCGGAGCAACCCGAGTACTGTCTCAAGACCGCCGAAGCCGATCTGGGCCAGGAGGAGGACGTCCCACTGGCAGAGTTCGAGAAGGAAGAATCGGGCTTCGCTGTCACTGAGCCTGAAGCAGATCAACACCATGCCCACACCAAGGCACTTCGGCGTCATGATCTCAGGACCATGGACATCCACCTGAACACTCATTTGAATGAGCTCACAGCCTATGTCACCAAGCAACTTCATCCAGCAGAACCTCGACGAAAACTGTGGGAGGTGTACTGTGGCGCTTCACGCACTTCCCAAGTGGCGGAGACTCTTGGTATGGAGGTTCGACAGTTCTCCTATATGAGACCGGCTGGGACTTTAACAGGTTGGATCACCAGAGCGCCTTCCTGGAACTACAAGATGAAGAATGTCCTGACGAAGTTCTCTTGGCACCTGAGCGCAAGCTCTGGAGCAAGATGCAATCCCTTGGAAGACGCACTCCGGCTCAACAGGAAGCCCTTCGTGCTGCTCGACAACATCATCATGATCGTCACTTGATGTTTGTTCGAAGAGCCTATCTTGGTCAAGTGCACAATGGCCGCCATGGACACATTGAACAGCCCAAGCACGCGCTCTCCTGGCGCACTCGTGCTTTGAGAGATCTCCGGGTCGTCGAGCCGACTTTGATCAATGTCGATATGGGGCAGCTTGCGTGGACACCGATGGACAATGGAGGCCCGTCAAGAAGAGCACCCCGCTGCTTACCACCAAGCAGGCTCTCCAAGATGTCATGACGCTTCAATGTCAAGGAGATCACCAGCACTGTGCCCTGGAAGGCCATGCCATTGGCTTCGGATCTCGCACCAAGTACTTGGAGGAGTGCCAACCGGCGCTTGCTGCCACTCTGGCAGGTGCTATGGCTGTTGAAGAAGCCCCACAGGCTTGGGAGACTGGCTTCATGACTGCAGAGCAGAAGATCGTGACGGGCAATCTGATACGTCTGATACGCCTTCGCACCACCGTCAAACAGGATGCCATCAGAACGGTTCAACGACTACATCGCAACCTTGGACATCCTGGACCCACTGAACTGGCCGAGTTGCTTGCGACAAGAGGAGCCAGTGAAGAGGTGATCGAAGCAACCCGGAACTACGTGTCACTCTGCCTGTGCGAAATACAAGAAGCCTGGAGATGCCGCACCGGCAGCCATGCCACAGACTGCCACCTTCAACCAGATCCTCCAAGCTGATGTGTTCTGGATTCGAATGGGCAAAGACAAGTATCCGATCCTCAGCGTGGTCGACATGGCCACTCGCTACACTTCTGCTCACTTGCTGCGGAACGAACAGCCTGAGGAGTACATCAAGGCCTTGGAGCGATGTTGGCTCTCCACCTTCGGTCCTCCACAACGCCTCATCACTGACGAGGGTCGCCCGTGGCTAAGTCGCATCTTTGAGGAATGGAGCGCTGCACATGGCATCTTCCACGAGGTCGCCCCCGGTGAAGCACATGAGCGTTTGGCTGTTGTTGAACGGCGACATGCACTGCTGCGCAAGGCCGTGGAGATCTACTGTTCCGATCAGCATCGCAACAATGCCAAGGGAGCCTTGGTCCACTGTGTCCCTCAGCTCAATGGCAGCAATACAGTGGCAGGTTTTTCACCTGCGCAATGGGTGCTTGGATATCAACCACAACTGGCAGGCAGCCTTCTCGCAGACACCTTCAAGCCAGCCCACTTTGGCGGCCACGAGGACTTCGAACTGACCCTGGCTCGCCGCAGTGCTGCTCAGAAGGCCATGATCGAGGCCGATGCTGACAAGAGGCTCCGACGTGCACTCGGGGCAAAATACAAAGGCCTCAACTCGGAGTATAGCCTCGGACAACAAGTGTGGTTCTGGAGAGATGCTCGTCAGCCGGACTTGGTGAAAATCAGGTGCCCTAAGGATCCGAGAATCTACTTTTCATGGCTGCCAGCCACTTTCCAAGGTTCTGGCCCCCTAGAAGCCAATGCTGGAAGATAAGATTTGTGGCTGGCAGCTAAGATTCATGGCTGGCAGCCACAAATCTTATCTTCTCAAAACTGGCTGGCAGCCATGAAAAGTAGATTCTACTTCTAAATGTGGCTTCTGCCAAAACTCATGCTACCACCTCCAAGAAGCGCTTCTGGGAAGTCACTTTTTGTGGCTTCCCAGAAGCGCTTCTTGGAAACATGCTATTTGATATGTTGCAGCTGTTTGGCTTCAAACAAGCTAGGTATAGATGTCAGGAGAAGCAATGCTGCCCATCCCCCAGCCTGCAATAAAGGCAGATATCAGCAAGCTGGTGGCCTTTGCAAAAGGCTTCCCTGACTCTTGCAATGCAAACCTGTGGTCAGCTGACCCTGAAAAAGCCGGCACAAGGCATGCATTGTTTTTGGATGTGTGGTTCAAGCGGCTCTGAGCAAGCCTGTGGAAAGGCAAGCAATGAAAGAAGCCAACCATAAATTGACCACATCAGAATGCAAGTTGATCGTGAACCAAATTCATGAATGCAAAAACTTTCTGAGAAGAAAATGGAAAAATCTCAAGACTGGAGAAAAAACCTCTGGTCTATTGATGGGTTTGATGCAAAGTCTGTTTGGCACTCCACAGCCTGCAGA